CTGGCCAGCGGGTGCTCCCAGCAATCAGAGACTCAACCCTGTAGCCAGCCAAACACCTGAAATTGATCATGCAGGTGTATTTAAGGGATGGCAGACCTGCAGTCTCTGCCTTGGTGTGTGTTTTTTTCTGGGCCCTGTATCTTGTTCCTGCATCCCTGTTCCTGCATCCCTGTTCCTGTCTCTGTCTGATTCGTTGCTGACCCTGCCTGATCCGGACCTCTGCTAACTTCTCCTGTTTTATCCCTGGCTTGTGACCCCCGACCATTCTCTGCCTGACCCCTGTACCTACCTGCCCGATTGTTATTGACCCGGCCTGCCTGACGACACTTGCATTGTATGTACTGTTATCTGTGGGTGGTTTGGTTTGGTTTGTTTTGCACTGTGTTATGTTTTAGTATTGCACTGCGTTTATGTTTGTATTGTTAGTCTTAAATAAATTATATTGTTTATAACTTATCTGAAGCCTGCGTTTCCCTGCGTCAGTCACATACCTCTGGTCACACCCCGGAGCCCTGACACACAGACCGGTAAGGGTGCCCATGCTGACCCGTTTCTACAGCCAAAAGCTGCGGGATATATTAGGTAACAAATGAACATATTGTCTCTGCAGTTGATGTGTTGACAGCAGAAAAAATCAGGCGTTGCAGTTTGTTGTATATGGGGCTGCGTAGCCACAGACTGGTCAGGGTGCCCATGCTGACCCATGTTCCACAGCCAAAAGTACCCATAATGGGTATGTGAGCATCAGAAGTGAACCACAGAGCAATGGAATGGAATGGAAAGGTGGCCTGGTCTGATGAATCACATTTTCTTTTACATCATGTAAAAGATTGGATTGCTGGGTGCAGGGCTAAGATAAGGGTGGGCAGAAGGGACGGCTGCCCTGGGCACAATGGTTTACTGTAAGGATCGGGGAACCTTCCTTCTCTTATGTGGCTGACGGGAGTAGTGACAGCGGCAGTAAATTTGACAAGTGAGTGATGGCTGGGCGTAGGATCCCCTAAGCTTGCAAATTGTGAGAGGGGGAGGGGAGCACAGTTTGGCATCATTGCCCTGGGTACTGGATGACTGTCCTGGCACTGGCTAGGTGTGTGTATATCACATGCTTGGGGAAGAGATGCAGTTTGGGAAGAAAGGCAAGCCTACAGAGGCAGTGTGATGCTTTTGGAAATGTTCTGCTAGGAAACCTTGGGTCCTGCCATTCATGAGGATGTTACTTGACATGTACCACCTACCCAGGGGTGGACTGACCATTTGGAAACTCGGGCACTGCCCGAGGGCCCAGGGTCAGTAGGGGGCCCCATGAGATGCCCCTGGTACCTTTTTTCATTGTTTTTTTTTGAGTTTGGGCAAGGACACAGGGGCCCCATGATCCCCTATTGCCCGGGAGGCCCCATGAGTTGTCAGTCCGCCCCTGCACCTACCTAAACATTGTTGGCGACCAAGTACACGCCTTCATGGAAACACTATTCCCTGATGGCAGTGGCTTCTTTTAGGAGGATAATGCACCTTGTCACACCACAAACATGGTTCTAGAATGGGTTGATGCAATCTTTGGGATGTAGGAGCACTGAACTACATTTTCAGGAGCGCTGAAATACATTATAACACAATGGAAGGTTTGCGGTCCTAGAGACTGCTTGGTTTTGCCAGACCCCCAGATGAGTTTATTGAAGTTTTTAAAGAATAGGTATGCCACACCAGCTTGTATAGATTTTTTTTAAAAGATTTTTATTTTTATAACAGCCAACGTGTTTTCGGAGAAAAGCCTTTTCTAATCCAGGTGACAACATTATCTTTTTTTTTGCCCTGATGAAGGGGCAAGCTTAGCCCCCAAAATGCATTGGCTGTAACAAAATAACAATCTTTTAAAATCTCCATATGAGCTGGTGTGTGCATTCCCATCCTTTCAAAACTTCAAGGATAGGTTTGAGAACACAACGGAGTTTGAGATGTTGTCTTGTCCTTAAAATTCTCCAGATCTCAATCCATCAAAGAATCTGTGGGATGTGCTGAAAAAACAAGCTCAATCCATGGTGGCCCTACCTCGCAATTTACAGAACTTAAAGGATCTACTATTGACAGCTTAGTACCAGATACCAAAGCATACTTTCAGAGGTCTAGTGGCATCCATCCATATAGTTGATCCGCACAACCGATGTTGCTTGTAAAATCTTGCATTTATTCAGAAATCCACAGTGTACAGTACGCAAAATACAATTAGCAGACCCATTTCAGCCTACACTGCTTAATGTGGATAAAGTGCTTTGATAGGAGAGGCTTCATATGATGGTTTAATGGGTAGTAGCACCTTTTTCTTTCTAGTGAAATCCATGCCTTGGCAGGTCAGGGCTGTTTTGGCAGCAAAAAATGGGACCTACTCTATATTAGGTGGGTCATCATAATATTAGGACTGATTGATGTATGTGGCGACTGGAAAGTGGGCTTTAATCTCTTGTCTACCAAGGTATGCTTATAAACCTCCTGGTATGCAAGGGGCTTTGAGGCAAAAGTCATCTCTCTGAAGGTGTGCCCATAACACCTAACCCTCCACCAGCATTGCCCACGGTCATTCCTGGGCTTCGTGCGAAACTAAAGACAGTAATAAAATCCTCACAGGGGTTTTAATCCCATTCCACTCTATTCAAATCTAAAAAAAAAGTTCTGCCTTTAGTTATACTTTAACCTTGTTTGTGCCAACACTACGCATATTCGGCCTCTTGTGGCTGGTGGGCCTTAACACCGAGAGGCCGCATATATGCATACCAGAATGTGCCAAGTGCGCGCACCTTGCATGATTCCGGCACAGTTACCTACGCCTAACAGCTCACTTGTGATTGGGAGCTTTCTGATCATGTGACTGCTGTGACAGCTAGTCACGGCGGTCACATGATCAGAAACCCCCACCCTGTTTCCCTGCATCAGAAACCCCTAAAGGGTCGGATGCGTCACCATCAAGGGATTAAAGAGGTGTCATCTTATTCATTTATTTATATTTATAGGAAAAAATCCTTAATATATGGGGATTTAGAAGATTTGTGTTGTTTTATAACAGCGGATTGATCGTCTTCTGAATCATCTTGATTTTCAGATGTTGGGAATCAGAAGTTGTATAGACAGCTTCTTGTGCAGGGGGGGCTGGTAGATACAAGATGCAAGGTTTTATATTGTAACACTGGGGGGAATAGGGGGATTTCCTGCAGAATATAACAAATGATGCACAATGAGCTAATACACCAGAGAACACGATAAACAATCCCACCAGGCTGGGAATAAAGTGACTCTCTCGGGAGACGTAGAAGAATTAACACACAAAACACCTGCTTCATCTGGTATTTTATGATAATCCCCAAAATGGAGGTAATCAGCTGATTAACCCTGTATCTGCCAGAAGAAAACAAACCAGATGACATGTCTAGCTATAGAAAAAGAATAGCATACTAAACTCCAAGGCGTTTCCCAAAAGACTGATCATTGCTAAATAAAGATGGTGTATGTGCCAAACAAATACAATGCCCTCATCCCTATACACTGTAGACGGGCCAAATGACTGTTCCATATATATTTATATGTAAAAAAAATAAAAACTTAATTATATAAAATCACTATAAAAGAGTCCATAAAAACATATCAGCTGGTTGCTTCTCTTCGCATTGTACAGCATATTATTAATAACCTCAACAGATATACATTGGAGGATATTTGTGTTGCATAGAATGCTCCTATAGACTTCATAACAGTCCCCAATAGAAACATGCACCCAAGGCGTTTCAAGGTAATTCCTTTATCCTCTTCTTCAGGGGTGTGCAGGAGATGTGGGGTCTGAAATAATTTTCAATACTGATAAACATATGAAACATACACACAGTTGTCAGTAAGGTCCCGTTCACACTTGAGTCTTTTGTAGCTTGTTTGAAGCTCAAAAATGCTGAACAAGCAAAAACCTATTGTTTTCAATAGCCCTTGTTCACACCTGAGTGTTCTGCGCAGGGGTGGACTGATCATTTGGAAACTCGGGCACTCGGGTCAGTAGGGGGCCCCTTGAGAGGCCCCTGGTACCTTTTTCATAGGCTTTTTTGAGTTTAGGCAAGGACACAGTGGCCCCATGATCCCCTATTGCCTGGGGGCCCCATGAGTTGTCAGTCTGCCCCTGGTTCTGCATGTAGTAAAAAAACACCAGTTGCTCAAAAAAGTACATAAGCTTCTTTTTTTAGGCAGAATTGAGCATTTTTGTCCCCATAGACTTCAGTGGAAACACCTGAAAGGCACAACATGAGCTTTTTTTTAGCGTGTTTGCAAGCATTTTGTCTTGTGTTTTCTGCTCAAACAGCAGCTCTCCATCCCTTTTCCAGCAATACTCCAAATGCCTAGTTGAAAAACACCCTGACAAAAGCTGCAAAATGTGCAATTCTGCTCCAAAAAAATGCTCAAAAGCGCTTGAAAAAAAACACTTGAAAACGTGATGCTTAGGAGTGATTGTAGCCTCAGATCTCCTTAAATAACAAAGCATGTTGTACTCACATAGAAAGATAACAACAACAATTAAAAGTAGTCGACCAGCTAGTTTCAATTAAGACAATCCATGATATGGTAATGTGTCACCGATCCCCACCGTCCAGTAGGGCTACAGCACAATCCACCATGGACATGTTTTTATGGACTCTTTTATTGTGATTTTGTATAATAAAGTTTTGTTATTTTTTTTATTTACATATATTGTATTGTCATTTGCATGTTAAAGTCCCGTGGGGAATTATAGTTTTTCTTCCCAAAGACTGATCTGGACAGCTTGACTAACAGAGGTCACCCTTGGTTCCAGTTTTCATAAATCAGAATCAAAGATATAACTGACTACAACTAAGAACTCTGGCCATCATTATCTGTTTTATTTACTGTCTTATGTATTTCTAGTCTTTCTCAACCTTTGTAACATGGAAGAATCCTTCAAATAGCTTTCTGGGCTCAGGGGACCCTTGTTGATAATTACTTTAACTACTGTACATCAGTGTGATGGTCATTGCAAGAATGCTCCTTACATTGGTGGTCATTGATAAGAATGCTCCTTATATTGGTGGTCCACTGGGAAGAATGCTCCTTGCATTGGTGGTCAGTGGGAAGAATGCTCCTTGCATTGGTGGTCAGTGGGAACAATGCTCCTTACATTGGTGGTCAGTGAGAAGAATGCTGCTTACATTGAAGGTCATTGAGAAGAATGCTCCTTACATTGGAGGTCATTGGGAAGAATACTCCTTACATTGGTGGTGTCATTGGGAAGAAATCTCCTTACATTGGTGGCCATTTGGAAGAATGCTATTTACATTGGTGGTCAGTGAGAAGAATGCTCTTTACATTGGTGGTCAGCGGGAAGAGTACTCTTTACACTGTTAATCATTGGGAAGAATTCCCCATTACAGATAACTACAACAATCATTGGTTTCAGTAGGAACTTATCTAAGACGCAAAAATTGCTCAAGGAACTCCTAGCAACCTCTGGAGGAACCCTAGTTGAGAAAAGCTGTATAAGTAACAAGAATTGCATTTGGACCACGTCTTTACCTTGGCAGACATGAAGGTATATATAACAAATGGCACACAATGAGCTTATATACCAGAGAACATTCCCACCAGGCTGGAGATAAAGTGGCTCTCTGGGGATGTAGAAGGATGAGAAGATGAGTGACAACACCTCTGACATTCTGAGATCCTGTCCTGTATCTGCTTCTAGGTCTGACAGCCTGGGTAGGTCTTGCATATGGATACATTTGGGAAATGCCAGAGGGCAGCAACTGGTGGCTGCACAGTGAGCTGTTGATCGGTTTAGTATAATTTGGAATATTTGTGCTAGCTACCATTACGCTTCATCCTGAGTGTCTTGTAAATTATGCCAGTACTAACTTCACCTTACAAAGTTAAAATGGAATTCCAGTTGAACCCTAACTATAAAAAAAATCTCTTTCCCCACTTATAACACCTATGCTGACTAACCTGGGTAAGAAACACTTATCTATTTTCAGGTCGAACCGGCTCCCCTGTGTGGGGAGAGGAGGGAGCGCCATCAACGGATGGGCCATAGAAGCCTATGGGTGACATCACCACTCCAGGATTTACTAGCTGTTGTTGCTCTCTCCTCTCCCTGCAGCCAGCTGCTGGTTGCACTGGGGAGAGCACATGACTGTGACCGTATAGGTAAGTATACATCTTTCACATCTTATACATGTTAGCAAGTGTGGAGCATACCCCAAAGGAGCCGCTTGATGAGTCGGGTCCTGCCCACGACTCTGCAAACAGCTCAGTACTTTCTGATACACCTGACTGGGATGAGGATAGTTGCAGATACCTGCCCGTATATAAATATATAGATCTCAAAACACAGCAATACATATACACCAGAAAATGACTCCAAACTGTTTGAGTAGTGACAAAGTATATTGCAAGCAAATGAATGTAAAAAAAAAAACTTACAGTAGTGAACAGGGGCGGACTGACCATTTGAAAACTCAGGCACTGCCCGAGAGCCCGGGGTCAGTAGGGGGCCCCATGAGATGCCCCTGGTACCTTTTTCATAGGCTTTTTTGAGTTTGGGCAATGACACAGGGGCCCCATGATCCCCTATTGCCCGGGGGGCCCATGAGATGTCAGTCTGCCCCTGGTAGTGAATCACCAAGAAAAGATTACACTACATTGGTTCACAGTTAAAAGTTATACCGCAACAGTCAACAATCAAACTGCAGTAAATAGTGGTAGTGCAATATATTATGGTATAGTTATCAGGCTGCACACAGCGAATGTTCAGTAGTCCACCTCTTTCGTAAACATGTACTGGGTAAACCTATCTAGGGGAGGAGGACCTATAAGTGTTCACCACAATGACCTTCTGCTGGACAGCTCACTGAGGTCCAAAACCTTACATTGGATCTCTTGGGGTAGTGTTCCATTTAAAGTTTATGCATACAATGATGAAGTGTTCCAAGCCAGAAAATTTGTCCCTCTGCAAGCAAACGTAGTATATAAGTGGCCAGCGGCTGCTCACTAGTCCCGTGTAAGCAGAGGTTTCTGTCTACCCGCTAGTCAAGGATGGTCCCTCTCTCTCTGATGGTGTCCTCAGCATCCGACTCTTTAACTGCACAACAGGATCCCCAAAGTCTAGGTCTCACTCCAAGGCTCCAGAATAGCATCTGCTCTGCCTTCACTGCTCTCAGGTAGGTTGTCAGGTTGTCTCAGTACTGGGCTCTATATCTGCAGTCTCACTGACAAATTTTATGCATGGTATTAGGAGCTTAGCCGCTTCGCACCGGCACCTCCTGGCCCTTTAAGGGGTTTCTGACTCCAGGAGGCGAGGCGGGGTTTAGGGTCATGTGACCGCTGTGATTAGCTGTCACGGCAGTCACATGATCGGAAATGTCCCAAACGCAAGGAGAGATTGGGACCTTTCCGTGGAACGCTGATACATGTGCTGGGAGCGCTCTCAGCACATGTTTGTTTACAAATGGTACGTAAATATGCGGCCGCTCGGCATTAAGGCCCAGCAGCTGAGGGGCCGCACATTTGCGTACGGTTGGCGTGAAGAGGTTAAAGTGGTTACAAACCTCAGAAATGAAATATGAACAAAGCATATCCTCCTATAGTGTGCACTTGTCTTAATTCAGAGCACTAAGTGTCGTTTCTGTCTACTTCATTTCTCTGCTATCAGCATGAATCACTTCTGATAAGTTTTTCTGACACCATGAGAAAAATGGTGACAGGGGAGGGACATCCAGCAGATTGAAAGCCTAAGTTCTGTTTCTGTGAGCTCTGTAGGGGGGGGGGTGTCTCTTCCCTCCAATCAGCTCTCAGAGCTCTCCTTACTGAGCTCTGCAGAGTGTAACTTCAGATCTCCACCCCCTTTTTTCTGAACTGTCAGACAAGCTTATAAATTCAGCACTTTTGAATGGTTGTAGAGAAGAGAAAGATACAGGCACTGCAGAAGATGGGAGGAAGCATGGCAAGACTGCTCTGTTGGGTTTAAAGGTGCACTTTGCATACCATGCTGCGTGGACATCTGCTCCTGTTGGTAAGTGGAGGGGGGGGGAGTCAGCCTGATTGTTTTGTCCTTTGTTTCCCTATGTGTGACAATGCTCACCCTCATCCCATTGTTTCAAATTATGTCTGTTTAGATCTGAACACTCAGTTGCTTGTAGCTCAATATCTTTGCTTAACAATTTGAAGTGCACATTTTTGATCTATGGACTTTAATGGGGGTGCTCAAAAAAGCACAAAAACACACATTTTTCAGGTGCTCCCATGATAAAAAGTCTGTGGTGCCAAAACCACATGATCTTACCATAAAGAAGTTCCTGTACAGCACATGGCTCCTAAAAAATTGGGGCTTAAAGTGAATCTGTGTAAACTGTAGGGGTACCCACAACTGTTCACTGTATAATAATAATAGCAGTAATGTGGAATATGGCAGAGCTATACAAAAATGATTTATTGATTTATTTATGACAGGCATTTATACAGTGCTGGGAATTTACGTAGTGCTTTAAATACTACTCATTGACATCAGTCCCTGCCCTCAAGGAGCTTTCAATCTAATCTCACATGCACATTAGGGCCAATGTAGACTGTAGCCAATTAACCTCTTCAAGGAGCTTACAATCTAGTGTTCTTACTGTAGACTGAAGCCAACACCCAAGGCTGCAAGGCAAAACTGCTAACCACTGAGTCACTATTCGGTATCTTGATATCCCCAGTTCCATGCATGACAGGAAAGCATTATTACAACAATGTAGCCTGTTCCTTCTACATTCATGCCATTCTATGTATGAGCACAATTCTGTGATGTACTGAAAGTAATGGAAAAGTGGGTATAACTTTTTTATTACCTTACATACATTATATGATCAAAAGTTTGTGGACGCCTGATAATCTCACATACTATATGGCAAAAATTATGTGACACCACCTCCTACAGTAATTATTGCAGGTGTTTCCAATGAAGGTTCTTGTTAATATTACAGCTTACAAAGAAATATTAAACAACCGTGTGCTTCCAGCCTTGTGATGACAGTTTGACTGTACCCAAAAGTCAGGTCCAAAATGATATGGTTTGAAGAGCTTGGCATAGAGGAACCTGAGTTGCCTTCTGACCTCAACCCTATTGAAAATCTTTGAGATATACTCAAATGCCCGTTGCTTGCCAGACCTTCTCATTCAACATCAGTAGTAGACATCACAAATGCTCTTTTTACTAAATGGGTCAAATCCCACAGGCACACATTCCAGTGGAACCTGTTATAGCCCCAAAGTGTTGTTCAATTGTGCATCAATGCTCATGGTTTTGGAATGGTGTATTTAACAAACTCGTATATTGTAGGTGTGATGGTCAGGTGTCCACAAACCTTTGATCATATAGTGTAGGTCACTGGTTGAGTAACTCATCCTCTATAGTAACTCATTTTCTTCTTCATCTTCTTCATTTTCATTGCAGGTTCTTTTTCATTATGCTTGGATTCCAAGCTGAAGTGACATGTTGTCATTGAGTTGTTGATGCAGGAGGGCTGCAACATGTCCGACATCCACAGAAGGCTACAGAATGTTTACGGAGATGACACTATTGATAATAGCAATATCTTGTCACTGCTGACTCTTGTCAATGGTGTAATCTCCATAAAATTGATATAGCCTTCTGTGAATATCAAACAGCCTGCACCCCTCCTTCGTCAAGAATTCAGTGATGACATGTTTCTTCACTGCATTTACCTGCAATGAAAGAGAAGAATATAAAGAAGTGTTACTATAGAGCAGGGAACGCCAAACTTTCGAAGAAAAAAAGGCCAGTTTACTGCCCTTTAGGCTTTGGGGGCTGGCTGTAGCCAGTGGGAGTAGACAATGTCCCAGCATCAGTGCCCCATTATTGGTTTTAATGGGAGGAATAGTGGCCCATTGTTGATATCAGTGAGAAGAATATTGCTCAATTGTTGACATCAGTGAGAAGAATAGTGCCCCATTGATGGTGTCAGTAGGGGGAATGGTGTGTCATCATTGGTGTCAGTTGGTGGAATAGTGCCCCAAGGGCCAGATAAAGGATTACTCTACCAACATGTGACAGTATGTAAGGTAGTAAAAAAAAGATATACCCACTCTTGCATTACTTTCAGTATGGCCCTCGTATCAATACCTTCAGCTAGACACTCAAGAGTTGATTAAGGGTCCTTTCACACGGGCGTTCTGTTTTTTTCATCAGTTCAGTCATGTTTTGTTTAAAGTTGGGGCTAAACGGATCAAGACTTCACTTTTTATCTCTGTTTTCATATCCATTTACACCTATTCACATCCATTTTTTCATCCATTTACATCCATTTTTCATCCGTTTATATCCATTTTTTTACCCGTGTACATACATTTACATCCATTTTTCGTCCTGTCTGTTTTTTTTTTTACTGAAACAGGGTTTTCTCCCGTCCAAAAAATGGATGTAAACAGATGTAAACAGATGATCATCATGGAAGCACCAGATTTTGCACTCTTCAGTTTTAGCAAATAATCCCCTCACAAATAATTTAGCAAATAATCCCCTCACTAACCAAGATACTAATCAAGGGCGACTGGAAGCACGCTGATGAAATTGTTTTGAGTGCAATATTATTTTTGAACTTCTGAACCCATTTTCCATGTTAAAGGCCCACCATTTTTTCCCATGCTCCCCAGTGGCCACATAGTATAATGGTGTTGATAGACAGCGACTGAACAATCTGCGGAGGGCTCTTAGAAATGGACCCTTTAGATAAACAAATGGCTTCTATGCTCATAATTGTTGTGACCCAGAAGTTATCAGGAAGCCACTGGGTTTGCAAAATAATCAGCGCTTTGTCACACCACAATGCAAATAATGGTTTGAAGGGAGACTTCCTCCGCTGACGGCCCAGCTCCATTACGTGGTCATTTTCAGACAGGCCTTTGTTACCAGTCCCCTGGCCTGCAAAGATCTAACAGCAAATTATTGAGGCTGTTTTCTTCTCCTTATTTCCTCTGCCACTTCCTTCAGGTATTCGGGATGTAATTCATCTTGGACGAGTCATTGCTTTGTCAACTTTATGGCCTCATAACCCAGCTTGGCCTAATTGCTTGTTTGGCCCGTGCGCGAGGGGGGGGGGGGGGGGCTAGTAAAAAACAAGTTTCCTTTGACCATTTTCCATCCCCAGTTTAACAGCTTGATGCAAATGACACACTTATCGCAAATGAGTGATATTACAGCTTTTAAATAATAAAGCAGGCTAAATGACTTTAAGGTGGTAATTTTTCACTTTGCTCAGAAAAGCATTAGTAGCCGTAATAGGTGACAACATATTAATATTCAATTAGCACAATTCTAGGAGTCGAGTGTGATGAAGGTTGTGTTTGTAGGCCTTTTAGCTGCGTTGGATTGAGATGTTAAGGATAGAGTGGGGAAAAGCTCAAATTTCCATCAGGTTTCTATTTATTGAATTAAATACACAGAGGGGTGCAATATCTTCTAATATTATTATTATTATCAATTGTCAAATGGACTGTCTTATTAAAGTACAACTGAAAGGAAAAGCTTTTCTTTAATTTTTAGTAACTTAAGCGGAGCACCACCCAAAAGGGGAAGTTCTGCTTTAAGGACTGCTCCCCCGCTCCCCCCATTAAGGATTGGCACCTTTGGGGGGAGGGAGAGGGTTATCTGAATTTGACAGGTACCCGCACCCACTTCTGGTCCAATTGCCTAGGCGATCGGAAATGGAAGTTGTCCTCCCTCCCTGTAGTCTTTGGGACATGTGACAGGTCCCAGAAGACTACAGGACCATTCATGAAGCACAGTGCTTCTCGTGCATGCACAGTGGGTACCCGGCGGGGAAGCCGCCAGCTATCACAGCCGGGTGCCCACACTGAAGATGCCGGCCTCCTGGAATACAGGACAGCCAGTGAAACGTACTGCGGGGGGGACACCACGGGACCGAGGGACAGGTAAGTGGCTGTTTTTTAAAAGTCATCAGCTACAGTTTTTGTAGCTGACTTTTATTTTTTTTTCAGGGTGAGTGGAACTCTGCTTTAAAGTGGTTCTAAAGGCTCAAGGTTTTTTTTTTTACCTTCATGTATTCTATGTATGAAGGTAAAACACATTCTGTGTGCAGCATCCCCCCCAGCCACCCCTAATACTCACCTAAGCTCCCTCTTGATCCAGCGATGTGCACTGGAGTCTTGGCTATCCCGGGACTCCCACTTCTCATTGGCTGAGACAGAAGCGGGAGCTATTGGCTCCGTCAATCACAGCCAGCGAGCCAAGGGCGGGCCAAGACGTGACTCTGTGTGTGAATGTACACACAGAGCAGCAAGTGCCCCCCGTAGCAAGCTGATTTCTGTGGGGGCACCCAACAGGAGGGAGGGGCCAGGAGAACCTGCAGGAGGACCTGAGAAGAGCAGGATCTGGGCAGAACCACTGCACACAGCAGGTAAGTATTGACATGTTTGTTATTTTTTCTTTAAAAAAAATAAGCCTTTAGAATCACTTTAAAGGGTATAACCCCTGTTAGATATTGAGGCCTAATGGCAGAAAACGTATGTTTTTGGATTTTTGGACAGAGTGGGGAAGAGCTCAAATTTTGGTCAGGATTCTGTTTATTGAAGTACCTCAATAGAGAGGAGTTAGATATTCTATTATTAGTGTTAAATAGACCATCTCATTGAAGTACAACTAAAGGCCTCGGGTGAGGGAGAACTGGTCTGCACTCTTAAGGGATCCTGGCCAATCCTCAAGCAGGAGTCTTGGCATGGGTCAGGACAGCCCTTAAGAGTGATAGAGCCTGCAGGAAAGTTTGGGTGGAAGATGAAGTGAGAAGGCTAGAGTTTGAAGCCTGAAAGGGGCCCCAGGCGAAGGGCCCACCTGCAGGCAAGGGAAGATCTCTCATCCTCAACTGTCCCCTGAGAGAGAACAACCTGGGAAGCAGGGAAGGAGCCAGCCCAATGGTGGCTGCCACCAACCCATAAGCTTGCAGGAGAGAACTGAGTGAGTGATCCCACACCCCCTGGGCTAGATAAGGGGAGATGGTATTCTGGTGAGAAACCTGACTAGCTCCCATCTGAGACTGCTGATTTTAAAATGGCAGCTTTTGGGTCCCCTTGCCCAAGGATTCCCTCAGGCAGCTGGGGGAAGAGGAGATTTCATCTGGAGTCTAAGGTGGTACACCTGGAGGGCTAGAGAGCTTTTCCAACCAAGAGACTTTGTTGGCTAAAGCAGCCTTTCTCAAGCAGGGTGCCTTGAGGTTTCTTCAGGGGGGTGCCTTGGCAAAATGTCTAAAAAAGCCAGTGGGTGTAAAAAGCCTGCCTTTTAGCTACACAAAGCCACAGGTTTTCATTGTGCACCATTACGACCTTCTAGCCACCGGCATCCTGACAACCAATGACATCATCAGTTGATAAGGAAGATGTCAGCTGCCTTCACAGAATCCGAGTTTGGCAATCCCCTGCCCCTCTCCATCAGCACTGGGGTCACATTAGTTCAGTGGAGAAAAGTTGAGGGAGAAGAGAAACAATGGAATACTAGTCAGTACCAGTGTGCAAAAGTCTATTTGCTTTGGAAGAATAAACCGCCTCTAATGTTGGGTGTCCTATGCGTGTGGATGTTACTGCATTATATAAAACATAGAATAGTTTTTCACATTTTAGAATGGGGTGCCTCGGGACTGTCCATAATTTTAAAGGGTGCCTTGACTGAAAATAGGTTGAGAAACCCTGATCTAAAGGACTTGTACATAGTTTGTCCTGACAGTTTTCAGTATCCTTTGGCATCCTGTGCACCCCTCAACCACATCCAAGCTCAATATCCCTAATAAAACCTGAAAAAAGTATGCTCAAAGACTGTTTACTGTCTCCGGAATGAAAGTCTGTGAAAAATGCATGTTGCCTGGCTGTGCAGGACTATAAGGGGACCCAAATCTTCAGCAACACCTAAGGGGGTAGTGCTACACACCAGGGGCGGACTGACAACTCATGGGGCCCCCAGGCAATAGGGGATCCTGGGGCCCCTGTGTCCTTGCCCAAACTCAAAAAAGCCTATGAAAAAGGTACCAGGGGCATCTCATGGGGCCCCCTACTGACCCCGGGCCCTCGGGCAGTGCCGGAGTTTCCAAATGGTCAGTCCGCCCATGCTACACATAGAATGTAGAGAATGGTGGTGTGAAATCAACAGCGTACAGATGTCTTATACTACATATTGTATTTAGAAGAACAATCGAACCCCCAACGCCAAACTTTAAAAATAAAGGATTCTGGAAAAAGGGGCCGGCAGGCTCATCACTCATGGCCGTTTCCTGATTTGGGATGAAATGTCACTGTTTTCTAATGATTAGGGAAATACAGCAGACACAATAAGAGGGACTAGAGTCCTGCCATTACTTATTCATTGAACGTTCATATCTTGCATGTGGTTTGCTCAGAACAGCCAAGATTCACAGCGCTCCACAAAGGATTCCAATTATGAGGATGCAAATGAGATGGATGCAGTTTGGTCCCCAATCCCCTTCCCCGGGACTCCCTTAGGCTTCGGCATAATATCAGCAGATGCTTATAACCTTGACTCGGAGAATCGTAATTAACGGAAACCAAGCGTGCAGCAGATTTGCCGTTTGAGCCTTTTGTTTGGAGGGATCACGAGATAGGCTGTAGCTGCAAATACATGGTAATAGGAGAGCGTAAGCTGGAGGTATTGGAAGTGACATTTATAAAGAGGGGCAAATCTCATAGAACACGCTCATGGGTGACAAAATGTCCCTGTTTTACATCTGATGGATGTTTCTGTATATGTAAATGGACTGTTTAACCCCTTCATGACGAAGGTAAAACAAATTGTAACGCCTGAACACAGTTTTACAACTTTGCAACACGTACAAGTAAAACTGAACATATCACTACTACTTTAGGGATGATTTACTAAAACTGGAGCAATCAGAATCTGGTGCAGCTGTGTATGGTAGCCAATCAGCTTCTAACTCCAGCTTGTTCAATGAAGCTTTGACAGCAAAACCTGGAATCTCATTGGTTTCTCTG